TAAAGGGTATTATTGTTAACAAAGTGGTTCAGTCCTCATCGTCTCAATCATCTAAAATGACAATAGTTCCCAGTAATGCTGTAAAATCCCCAACAAAAATTTTACCAGCGCCAATAATTAATTCTCAAGTTAAAGCATCTACAATTTCAAATCAACAATCAGTATTTTCTTCTTCAACTAAAACAAATGTGCAGCCAAGTCCGCAAAAAGTAATTATTAGACAGGTAATTCTTTATAAATTTATTTGATTTCAAATATATTAAACGACTTAATAGATAATTTTACATGATATATTATATATTATTTTAGAGTTCTTTAAAGCCCGGAACGGTATTAGGAAGTGGACAAGTTATTAGAATACCTGCAAATCAAAATATTGTAACTGGATCCAGTCAAGTACATCAAATTCAAATGCCAGGAAGACAGGTAAAATTATTTGTTCTATTATATATATGATTTTTTTATTACATAATATTAAAATTTTTATATATATATATTTATATTATAGGTGCAATATGTCAGATTGGTGAGTACTCCTTCATCTGGAAGTACTAATGTTGTTACTGTAGGTAAATCAAAACCACAAACACAAACTTTACAAACTGTAGGAGTAAGTCAAAAGTTAGGTGGACAACAACAGATAGTAAAGGTACAAAATGTATAATAAGAACACATATGACAGATAAAATTTATTATCTTATTAATTAAATCAATTATTATTTCTAATAAATTTAATTACAGGTTGTTCCTTTAAACACTAGTAATCAATCGTTAAGAACAGTAGCACCAAAGACTACTCTAACTGGAAGCGGCCAGAGATTGTTAATTCCTGCTGCTGCAACAGTAGGAAGTCAATCGAAAAATGCTGTTGCTATACCAGCATCTGCTTTAAGTCAACTTGCTTCTGGTCAAGCCGTTCTTTCAGCTAATTCGAACGTTAGTAATATTGTCGTTTTACCAGCACAATATATACAACAGGTATAGTGTGTATTTATATATATATATATATATATATATATATATATATATATATATATATTTATATCAAATTTATTCCAAATATTATTTTTAAATTAAAGAAGGAAAAAAAAGGTATTACTTATATTATGTTTCATTGAAATAGCAGCATACAGACGATGGAAAAATAAAATCTCAGCAATCTACTCCTAACTTATTAGGAAATACACAAAGTTTACAAAGTCCAACTAGCAATTTAACTTCTGGATCTATTTCTGAAAGTAAAGTATCTCAAAGATCATATGCAAATGTTGAACCGAATGGTATTAGACCGAGGAAACCGTGTAATTGCACTAAATCGCAATGTCTTAAACTGTAAGTAATTCAGAAAAAAAAAAAATATATATATATATATGTATAATTAATATTAAGAGTTGCACAATATTAGTTTTTTTATATTGAATGAAATGTATGTAACATATTTTATTCATTGATAATATATGCTTCAGAATTATGTTCATATCCAATAGTAGTAGTAGGCTATGAATTACTATTTGTTTGTTTATTAATATTTCATTATAAAAATGACAGTCTACATAAGCTTCTATACTTCAGAGATATATATTGAAATCGAAGATATATATTTTCATATAAAAGAATAGGAATGTTTAAAGTGTTATTTTTTAGAAGGAATAAAAATTATTTATTCTTTGTGCACTCTTATTAAATATATTCTTATAAACTTGATATTGATTTAAAATATGGATATAATCGCACACAGATATTGTGATTGTTTTGCAAATGGAGAGTTTTGTCATATGTGCAATTGTAATAATTGCTCTAATAATCTTGGCAACGAAGAAGAAAGGCAAAGAGCTATCAAATCGTGTTTGGAACGTAATCCGAATGCTTTTCGTCCAAAAATTGGGAAAGGTCGTGAAACTGGTGATGATATACGTAGACACAATAAAGGATGTAATTGTAAACGAAGTGGATGTTTAAAAAATTATTGTGAATGTTATGAGGTATTGAAAATAATTATTAAGTATTTATTACAAAATAATATTATTAACAAACTAATTATTATAAACGAAATATTAATAAAGAACTAATTTGTAAAATAAAAATGTAAGATTAAGAGAGATTTTATGAATTTTAGGCTAAAATTCCGTGTTCTGCAAATTGTAAATGCATAGGATGTCGAAATATAGAAGAACCTAATTTAGAAAAAAAATCATTAAAAGATTTGGCAGATGCAGCTGAAGTAAGGACAGCACAATTAACATTAAATAAAGCAAAGTTACAATTATCTGAAATGGCTTTCAGACCCCCTGCTGTTTCAAATACTGGTGCAAGGTATGTAATTATATAAAATAATAAATCAATTTTTGTAATGCATATGATTGTAGTTAATAATATGTAATAATGCATCTGTGATATACTTAGAAGATAAATTACATAACTCGTCTATTTCGATATAATTAATAAAATATATATTTTTTTTTTATATTGCCTAGGCAACCATTTAATTTTTTGACTGATAAGGTAGTAGAAATGACTTGTCAGTGCTTAATGGCACAAGCTTATGAAGCTGAGCGCGATATGTTTGATGATGAAACATCGCAAAGACTTATAATTGAAGAATTTGGACGATGTCTCAAAGAAATCATAGAGTCGGCACATAAAGCAGAAGCTACCTAGCAGGTGCAGTTTGAAAATAATTTTTTTTTTCATTGTTACAAACGTCCACAAAAATTTTACGATTAAGAATATTAATTCTCAATATATTTTAAATATATTATTCAAATTAAATCATGAAATTCGCAATGGAAATGTTACATACCAAAGAATGAAATAAAAATGGAAATACATTTTTATTATATATGATACATCACAATCAAGAGAGCGGTATTTATGACAGTTAAATCATGATAATTACATCTAAATAAAACATCTATTTGATTTATAATTGAATTCGAAATTTGAATACAACAAAATATTAGGGGCTAATTAGATGGTAGGGTATATATATTATCATACATAATATTATATATATATATGTGATGATGTAAAAATTAATATTTATTTCTATGAAATCTATGAAAAAGTTATAAGAGAGTTTAGTAAATTTTGTGGTACTGTTTGCCTGTGGGTATGACGAATAATATTATATTGCTTTAAATTCAGTATAAGAGAAATTTGTCTTATTGTAATTAAAATAGTCAATTATTGCTTTCAGTGAGATATATATATATATATCATTTCTTTGCATGTGTGGATATAGCAATATATTCATTACAAAATATTTTTGCGTGCAAGATATAGTAATATTACAGATGACTTTTAGTTTTTAACTGTATAAATCATTCAGCATGTATAATAATTACTGGATATATTAATTCTAACATTAATTAAATAATTAAGACCATTATTACATAAATCCCTTCTTATGTTTTCGTTTGATTATATTTGATGAAATATGATATTTAAAAATACTGTATTATGGAGTATTATATTTCATATTATAATTCAGATAATATTGATTCTTGAGTTTTTATAAAATCATTATCGATAAATGTGATATTTCGAAATATGAAAACTAAAAATTTAAATATTAATGGGATTGCAATTATATTTTTACATTTTCTTTATTTCTTTCTTTTTCTTCTTTTTTGTTTTTATTTTTTTTTTTCTGGATAAAAATTCTGTAAATTTCATTTTAATCGTTTATATGAGTACTTATAGAATATATTTGTTTTCTGAATAATTCAAAGAATATTTGGCTTCGAAAGGAATCTTACATATGTTGAAGTCATAATCAATTAATATATGTTTTAGTTTGTCTTCTTGTTGATTATTGATAATGAATTAGTTATATATATATATATATAATTTTTCATAAAATAAAATATCATTACATTAAAATCATAAATCTTTTCTCTGTAGAAAATTAAATGACATTCATCTTTAAATTGCGTTCAATGATGTCAATTATTATACTTAATTGAAGTATGCTAATAATGTTATACAAAATCAATTTAATTAATTATTAATAATTACTTAATCCTACATAAACCGGATTACTATTATGTTATAAAAATAACAATATATTGAAATTATACTGTAGGAATTAATTAAAAAACAAAAAAAAAGGTACAGTTTATATATATATATATATTATATGTATATATTATAATATATAAGAACGAAAATGTAATATAAACAGAAATATATATATTATATATTTACAAAAACTGCACTTTTTGAAAAAGGTATAATAATTATTTTAAGTACATATAAATGTATACATATTGTACAAAATATCGTGTTATGCATGATTGCAATTAATTGAAAGTTTAGTATTCATTCAAATATATTTTGCTTTCCTTATTTAAATATATTAACTTTAAATCTAGTTAAAGCGTATGCATACTTCGATTAATATTTTTATTATAATACATTGTGAATATACAGGCTTAGATAAAATATATAAATACTAATGTAATATTAAATAATTATGTTTATAGAGCAGCTGATGTAGATAAGAATATGTTGATAAATGGTAGAACATTAATCTTTAATAAAGCGTTTTTTGTAAATAATGAAAATCTGATATCAATGAGCTACAATAATTTACTAAAAAGAAAAGTTTATTTATTAAAAAAAAGAACATGCATTATGCAACATAAATTTTCTTTTCCTTCCTTTTTTTTTTGTAAACAATAGAGAAAACGATTCTCTTACAATGTATGTAATCCTACGTACGATATATAAGAAATAGAATTTATAATTAAATTCAAATATGTAAATATATGATGCGAGATGCATAAATTGTAGCGCATTAATTAAATAAATGTAACATCATGTCTGATATCAGATTTCTTATAAAAAAAAAAATCACTTAAAGTGTTTGTACATCAAAAAGCGTTGTATATATATTATACATATGAATCACATTAGTACATCTTTTATTTCTAATGTATTGATTCAACCATTATTATTGTATGTTATAGGTAAAAAATATAATACACATAATAGCATATGAAAGAAGTTAATATTTTCATCGCAAAATTTAAAATTTTACTATTTTATTTTTTGTATTATTTTTATCTTTATCACTCTTATTTTTCTCAATGCTTGAATCCAAAGATTCTAAAGTACCGTCCGTAATTTTATCTACTGTTATTATAGATTCTTCTTTTTCTTTGATTAAATCTGGACAATCTTTTTTCAAGTGCGTAACATCTCCACAAATTTTGCAAGCTCCTCCATCAGGATAGATACCTCTAGGATTATCTGGACATTGTTTGGAAATATGTCCTTGTTCACGGCAGATAAAGCAAGTTGCATATCTGTATTCTGGAGCTTTAGTCACTTTACACTCAAAATGAGTATGTTCAGTTGAACCACACTTAAAACAAATCCCTGTACCAGATTGTTCGTTTGCAAGTTCAGGACAGTCTGATAAATTATGACCAGATTTACGACAATGAAAGCAAACATGCTTTTTAGCACGTGCCAATTCCTTTTCAGCTTTTCTTCTTTCCAATTTCATTGCAATATCAATTTCTGATTTTGGTATACCTGGAAATTAAAGAATCATTTTATAGTATATACCATTGCAATGTACCAGATAATATATTAAGATTTTTTTTCATATGAAAAATATACGTACCTTGCATTACCATTTTTTGTCGTAAATCTTTTAATCTCTCTGCATCTTCTTTCTTTACTGGAAATCCATCATACTTGACTATCTCTATTTCTACCCCATTAAGCATCATTTTGATAGGTCCACAATCAGGCTTTCTTCTTTTATGTTCTTTGTCATCTTTAATTTTTGGAGGCTTCCTTTTATTATTTTGTTTGAACATTTTACCATTATAATGATTAAATTTATTATTAAAGTAATTATTTCCATTTGGATAATTTTTATTGAACCTTGAAGGGTAATTAATATCATTGTGATTTGAATTAGGAAGATCAGTATTATTAATTTTAGATTCTTCCTCGTTTGTTGAAGTTGTAGTAGTTGAATCATGCAGACTCTTATTCTGTTTTTTCATATTACGTTTTTGTCGTTTGCTTAAAACTTGATGAGATTGTACAGAATTATTTTCATTGTCTATTATTTTTTTATCTAAATTAACATTATTTTCCATTTGGGTTTCTGATTTATTCTCATTGTTAATATGTTTTCTCTTTTTAATTTTGTTAGATATCGCATCTTGAGTCACTTTTTTATCGTATTTCTCATCATCAAAACTTGCCCAACTATTACTTGCTGTATTATCAATGGATTCGTGTTTTTCACTTAAAAGTTCTTTCGCTGTTTTTACCTTCTTTTCTGTTTCATTTTCAGTTAATTGCTGTTTCATAACATGCCATGGAGTAGCATCATTGGGTAAGCGTTCATTTGAAGCTTTGGATCCCTTTGCCCTTGTATATCTTGTCATGATCTGAAATAAAATTATTATGATGATATTAACGTTTTTTTTTTTTTAATATTAAAAGATAATAAATAAATATATTTATCGATTAGATACTTACTATCTATATCTAAAGCAAGATCCAAACAATATTATAACCTAACTTTTCGCACACGTGTATCATCCAGAAAGAGGACAATAAATGGTAATAATTTGAATTATTCACTAATAATATTACAAGTTATAAATTTGTAAAATCTTTTGCAATATAAATAAATATACATAACATTTTTATATTTTATCTCACTTTATTATTGTCTATTATTGCAAAGATTTGGCAAACGTTTGAAGCAACTTGATGTCACTAAAAGGCTTCTCTCAACTGTGTTGTAAAATACTTTACTACTTTATATAACCTATATATAGTAGAATTATCAATAGTTAATTAAAATATTGTTTGTGTTGCAAAGGATATTTATAATAAAAAGGTATATATAAATAATAAAATTACATTTGAAATTTTTTTATTATCTTAATATTTTAATTGTGAAGTTAATTACATAATAACCTCCTTTCTTATAAATTATTTAATGGAAAATATTGATAAATTATATTTTATAAAATAGTAATTATTATAAATCTTTCTATTTTATTTATCTTATTACGTGTATTTAAATTTTAGAATAATTCGAACAATGGCATCTAATAAAAATTATTAAACAATAGTTTACTGTATTATATCCCTAAATGTAATTATAATATCAACATAATGATATTGAAATGGTATGTAAAAATATGTACAGATTTAAACTTTTTAATTCAATATATAATATTAAATATATGATTTTTGTAGGTACCATTCTTATTTTGCTCTCTTCAAATATACAAAGCAATTAATAATCAATAGAAATTTTTCAACAATAATTAATGTGAATAAAAGCCCAAATGAATTAAAAATTTTAGGACAAAAATATTTGATAGATGAATGGACAAATGTCACGCCACAAATTATTTCAAAATTAGGATGTAATTTACATGTTATTCAATATCATCCATTGTCTCTTGTACGTCAACGGGTGATTGATTATTTTTATAAAAATTACCGTAGCAGGACTGGAAACCCATTATTTAGCGTATTTGACAATTTAAATCCTATAGTTACTGTTACACAAAATTTTGATTCTTTACTCATTCCCAAAGATCATCCTAGTAGAAAGAAAAATGATTGTTATTATATCAATCATGATACTTTACTGAGGGCTCACACAACTGCTCACCAAGCAGATCTCATTTCAATGGGATTAAATAATTTTCTTATAGTTGGTGATGTATATCGTAGAGACGAAATAGATTCTATTCATTATCCTGTTTTTCATCAAATCGATGCTGTTAGAATATGTACAAGAGAAGAAATATTTAAAAATGTGAATGGTTCAGGTGACTTAAAGCTATTTGATTCTAGAGAAGTAGAATCAGCAGAAAAACAAGGCTCTCATACTTTAGAGTCTGTAAAAATAATGGAGCATGAATTGAAAGGTTGTTTAGTAGGCTTGGCAAAAGCAATTTTTGGACAAGGTATAATAAAATTATATAAATATTTTAATTATATTTATTGAGAAAAAATGTATGGAAATCATTTGAATAGATATACAATGTCGATGGATTGATCAATATTTCCCATTTACGCATCCTTCGTGGGAGTTGGAAATTTTTCATGAAAATAAATGGCTAGAAATATTAGGCTGTGGTGTTATAAGACAAAGTATTCTAAATAAATCTGGAGCAGGAGATCGCATGGGATGGGCATTTGGAATGGGTTTAGAACGTCTAGCTATGTGCCTTTACAATATACCAGACATAAGATTGTTCTGGAGTACTGATACTGGTTTTTTAAATCAATTCAAAGTAGATGATGTTAATAAAAACATAAAATACAAGGTATACGATCAATAAATATATTTTTAAAAATATTGTATATATAATATTGACTATAAAATAAATGTTTACAGGCCATCAGCATTTATCCACAGTGCAAAAATGATATAAGTTTTTGGTTACCAGAAAATGATCATTATACTTCTAATAATTTTTATGAACTAGTTAGAGAAATTGGAGGTGATATTATTGAACAAGTTATATTGAATGATGTATTTGCGCACCCTAAAACCAAAAGAATATCTCATTGTTATACTATAGTGTATAGGCATATGGAACGTACATTATTAAAAACAGAAGTTAATGATATTCATCATAAAATAGAAAAAGCTGCAACAGAGAGACTTCATGTTACTATACGATAATGGAACAAATAAAGTTTCATAATTTATGTAGTTCGATAAATGTCTATTTTATTTATAATATATAACACTTGAAGGAAATAAAAAAAATCGATGGAAGGAATATAATATTTTATTTATGCATAAATTAATTATAAATGTATTATGGAACAAACAATATTTATCTAAGAACAACTATATCATCTATAGTGTTTTATTAACATTATGATTAATAACAATTACAAGTAGCTCCTGCATGCATATTTAACATATATTTGTATACAAAATGTTTGCCAATTTTATACCTTATTTAACAACTTAGGTATAATAAATAAGAGATGTTTAAAGCAAATAATATTGAATTATTTTTTGATTGAATTAAATTCATTGCACAAATAAAGTGTATCTTAATTGATAAAATATGCATTAGTTTACAGCAAATTAATAAAATAAAAAAAAGTTGATAAAAATTTTCTAATATTTTAGATAAGAAATTATATGAACATATATTTTATAATTTTGATTTATAATTATGATTTCAAAACTGTAATTGAAGTGGCATTTATTTTGGAAAGAATCGATCTACAAGCATTGAACTAAATATTATCTACTTTCTATCATGCCACATATAATATTTTACAAATATATTTAATATAAAAATATTATAAATTATTTGTTAATTTTGCAAATATAAATATAATAACATCAAAAATATAATAAAATTCATAGAAATTATAAATGCCATGCAATCTTATATAATAGAAGACTAGCATGGAAGAAAAGATTTGATTAATTTATATTAACTAATAAATAGATCATAACAACAAAATTATTATTAATAATATTCACATAAATCACATAAAAATGCAAGATCTGTTCTAAAAGCTTCTTTTGTAATGAGATTTCTGTTCGCAATTAGAAATTAATTTGCACTATAATTTGAAGCAAATATAAATAGGGCATCGTGTTAATCAATGATTTAAATTATATTGAATTTGTTTTTTTTTTCAGTCGATTTTAATTAAGACAGCCCTGATTGACTATAAATATTGATGTAATAAATATCCAATGTAATTTACAATATTGAAGAACTTTAAGTTCTGCAATCCATATTTTGAAATATATATTAATATTTTTTGCTTAGAATTTATACAAAAATAGTTGATGGATAAAATGGTGCGTATACCTTTTTATGTAAAATTTTCAACAGCATTTTGAAATCGATTAATCGAATTAATAATTTGAAAAAATAACCGACATACAAACATGAATATTTTTGCCGTAATTTTATATAAATTAATATTTTATCCCTTGTAATACTTTTGGTATAATAAGATTGATATATGTACCTCATGATAATTTGGTATAACTCGGAGGAGAGAATTTTTTTCTTAAAAACTTCAGAATATATAGCGGCATACAAGAAACTAAAGTGATGACTAACACTTTCCATAAAAAATCAGTTGTCTTGATAAATTCAGCATCTGTTTTAAAGAGAGAAAGAGAGAAAGAGAGAGAGAAAGAGAGAGAGAGAGAGAGAGAGAGAGAGAGAGAGAGAGCGAGAGAGAGAGAGAGAGAGAGCGAGAGAGAGAGAAAGTACAATTATAGATTATTATATTTTACTAATAATATTGCAATAAATCAAAAATTAAATAGAAAGAATTACACTTACCAAAATAGTCTTTTAGTACAACCAAAGACAATAAATAGAGTGCCAAAGAAAAGATCTCTGCTAAGATCATAATATGATGCCATGTTCTAATTGTTAAGGCAACCATGATTAATTCTGTCAAAACTAATGCAGAAAAGCTGATAGCTACTATGTGAATGAATTCATCTTCAAACATAATAAGTGCACCATACATTATTACTCCTCCTGAACAATAAATCTTTGTATAATAATTATATTTTATCTATACACTATATATTAAATGATTACTCTATTTCATACCTTGATATATGCTTATCAATACCCACATAAAGAATGTTTTATAAGAAAGTGATCGACCTTTACTGAGTTCTTTATAAAGCTCTGGATAAGTAAGTGCTATTTTTCCTGACACATCTTTATCTAATACCAGAGAAAAAACAGGGAACATTGTATAGATTGTAGCATATCTGTAAAAAATATTTTATAACATATAATAATTAATTAATTTATTACAAGTATATAATAGAAAATATTTTTAATATATATGATATACTTACCCAACCATAAGAAAACCTTGATATAAGGCAACTGAAGAAAGATAAAATACAGCTGAAAATACAGCTTGCATTGTTGAAATAATTAAACCTCGATGAATTACAAATTGACTCAATGCAGCTGATCGTTTATAACTTCTCCTACCGTGAACCAACAATAAATGAGAAAGATGATTAAATTGTGAGATAGAAAAATCTGCAGCTAATGAGGCTTGACGTCCTTCAAGACCTTCAAGACCAATACCTGCGAGATATTTAATTATTAATTATTATTAATTATTAAAAAATAATATAATTATATTATTACTATATGTATATGTATATATATATATATGTATATATATATATATATATATATATATATATATATATATATATATATGTTATACATAAAAGTTGTTTATGTACCGGCATCAGCAGCTTGTATCATAGATACGTCATTACCACCGTCACCAACGGCAGCTGTTCTTTTACCAGTATGTCTTTGTATTAGACTGACAACATCAGCTTTTTGTGTGGGTGAACAACGACAACAAACAACAGCAGGTGACCCACATGCAAGTTCCAAAAATTCTTGTTCATAATATTGTAAGCATACGTCTAATGAATCACCACTGATAACTAAGGCACAATCTTGTTTTTTACGGAAAGTATTCAGTTCTAAATGCGCATCAGTTCGCGTAAGAACAGATTTAAAAACATGAAGTCCTTTCGTACGTGAAACCAATAAAGAAGATTTTGCTATACATGTTGCTGTTTCCAATTTATCGCCAGTCAACATCCAAACCTAAAAATATTAAAAATTACAATAGAATAATTTATTTATATATTTATATATATATTTATTGTATGAATAATCTTTTAGTTATTTAACATTCTTGCCTTAATTCCTGCATTTCTTAATAATTCCAATGTTGTTCTAACTCCATTTTGAAGTTTATCTTCTACGCCAGTTACACACAATAATTCCATTTCACGTTCAAGACTTTCAACGACTGCTGTAACTCTTGAAACACGATCACTAACATACATTCTTGCAGCGTTATATCTAAAATATAATGTAAATAAAAGGCATTTAAAAAAATTCACACGAAATATATTGATGAATATTAAAAAAAAAACTTCTTTCCGCATACTTTGTTTCAAAATCAAGATATTGTTCTTCTGTCAAATTTTTTTTTGCTACAACCAGTGTTCTTAACCCTTCACGTGCCATATTACCACATTCTTCTTCTAGCCAGTCATTATACTGTACTATACCAGACATAACAACATCTGCACCTTTCAAATAAAATACAATTTCTGAAGTAGCTTCTGATTTGACTATTATACCCATTCTTTTTGTTTCAGAAGTGAATGGAAATATTTGTAATATAGTATAATTTAATATTTTTCCATTTGGAGCTTTCAATTGCATAGAATTCAGATCCCGTTTGACCAAAGCTAATCCCACTTCTTCTGTCCATTTTACTAATGCCACTTCGTCCGGGCTTGAAGCTTGATAATTACGTTTCTGTTCAGGCAAGTAATAATGCTGATCAGCTTCTGCCTGACTAAAATATAAAAACACATTAACAGCAAAAGGATATGATAAGAATTATAATTTATTTTTACTTATCATAACATTTACCTCTGAACAGAACCAGAATCTCCAGTCTCTCCTGTTTCTACACTCACTGAATCCAGATTAGTAGATGTACTAATTTCATCATAAACTGGTGTAACATTATGACATAATGCTAAAGCATGTACCGCATCGTAAATTCTCGTACTTTCAGATCTTCTCATTTTTCCACTATGCACGGATGGTTTTGTTGGAGAATTTTCCATAGTGGTATAGCAAGATTTTAATACAGATGTTACTTCATCAAATGTTTCCTGAGAATACGATATTGTCCCCATATGTAATTTTTTAAAAACCATTATATTTTGTGTTAACGTTCCGGTTTTATCACTCAGTAAGTAGGATATACGACCAAGTTCTTCTGGAATTGTAGTTGTTCTTACAACTGTACCAGCAATATCTTTATCTCGTTGTATACACCAAGCATAAAATGCCTTTCCAATATCCAAGTTTACTCGTAAACTAATTGGTATGATATAAGAAAATAATAAAACAAAACGGAACATATAACGATACCAAGGACCATTAAATCCTTTTAAACACATCATGACCAATGCAAGCCCAATAACTGCACAAAATAAGACCTATAAAATCATATTAAAATAGTATGTCATGATGAACCAAAAACAAAAATATATTTATTTATTATAAATAAAATACCTTAGTCAATTGATTTATCTCTTGATCAAGCAAACCAACTTTGGATCTAGGTGCAGAATGATTCATTAAGGATCTTGTTTCTTGTCCAGTATAAACAACTATTCCAAGTGCCGATCCAGATGCCACAGCAGTATTAGCCCATAAAGTATTATCGACTCCCAAACTTTCTTCAGTGCCATATCCATCATACTGTTAATGTAATATCCACATTAGTATGGTATTAAGGTTATCAAAATTATTTTTAATACTTACACGTGTAAATGTACCAATGAAACTATGAATATCTTTTTGAGGTTTTTCAACGTATAAACTTGCTTTTATATCAAACAATTGGGAATGATTTTCTAATTTTTGAGTTGCCGGTATTGCCAATCTTAATTTCCAATCTGTTTCTCCATCTAATTGATCGGTTCTTACAAAACATGCACCAGATTTTTCTGTTGTTCGCAATAATACTAAATCTGCTGGTACCCTTTGACCTTTTTCTACTATAACCTGTTAAAAAATTAAGATATTATAATTATAAGATATTACGTTCACGTTAGATTCAAGCTAATTAAAATTTATTTGTTTGTGTAGATAATGTCTTACCAAATCACCAACTCGTAATTTAGAACTTGGAACTAATTCTGGTATATCCAAACCTTTAACCAATCTTTGGTATTTTTGAGCATTGACTTCTTTATCTCTTTTGTATCTTCTGAAATCATCTACAGCTTCTCGACAGATCGTAACGGTCAAAACGAAACACAATGGTCCCCAATATGTATATAAATATCCTATTCTTATGTCTGGTATAAATTGAGATATTGCCATAAGCAAAAAGTATAGATTAAGAAAGAATTTAAATTGTTGAAAGAGGACCTAAGAAAATAGCCATACATAAAAAATATATCATTGCAATTACAAACAAATTTTATATATATAAATATATAAATAATTATATTCGTCGTACAAAAGTGATACACACCATAGGTAAGAATGTAACGACATTATATTTCTGATTTCTTATGACATTCGTAGGAAATTTATCATACATGGGCTGACCAATATGAATAACTCTTGCTCTCAATTCTCTTTCTCTGCAACATCTTCTCCACATCCACGTACAACATCTGTAAATAATCAAAATAATGATAAATATTAAAAATTCCTCTTTGTTGTTATCCGGACGAATTGAATATTCATTATTAAATATTTTATATATATAATAATATATAGATATATAAAATCACTAACAATAAATTTTTACTCATATTAATCATCTTGCCAGCTGAAATTGAAGTATTGAAACATGATCATTTATAATATCTAATCATTGTCTTTCTAGATTAATCTTAATCAATATTAATAAATTAAATATATATGTGTATGCCATTAAAAAGAAATATCACCTTGTCCACGAATTACTATTTCGTGGTCTTGATATTAATGGTATATCTTCTTTCGAAAGTCTTATTACGTTGCTTTGTGTCTCCATTTAGATATTTTTTTCTTCATAGGTTTTACATGCGATATATAACAAAGTATATATGTATATATATATATATATATATGTATATTACGTATATATATATATATATATATATATATTAAAAAAACAGAATATTTTTTTAGAATGCTTACAAATTCGTTGATATCTATTCGCGTCAATTCAACTGAACTTTGTTATGACATCATTTCAAACAAGGAACATATAATCACGAGAGAAGCATTAACTGTATGTCGCAAAAGAGAGAATTAATAAAAATAATTGAATCACTTGGATTTAAAATAAATTTTTATTGTGAAAATTGTCTAAAAAATTTTCTACTTGTATATTACGATTGTCCGTCGAACTTATTTCTCGAATTACAAATGCATCGAAGTTGAAATATCAGCAAGAGTCTGATAAAAATCTCTATCATTGATTTAACGTAGAAAACCAATGGCAGACAGGACAGCGTTGCAAGCTCACAACGCGCGCAAGTTACTTTTATATATTATTTCATTTTTAATGATTATTATTTAGTCCAAAAAAAAAAAAAAAAAAAAAAGTAAGATATTTGGTGAGTACTATTACGAATGAAATAAATACTTAAATTGTATACTTGTTAATTATATACATATATATATATATATATATATATATATATATATATACATGTATATATATATAGAAAATATGTAGAATATATATATATATACATATAGAAAACATATTTATAGATATATATCTATATATATATATAGAAAAAAAAACATTATATTTGCCGTTAACAAAATTCCCTAGATGTATATAACAAGTGACATTATATAAAATTATGTGAAATTTATAAAATATATACATATATTAATAATAATATTTAATTTAAATCCTGATGGAAATATAATAATCGAAAAAAAAATATAACGATAACATTGCGATCTATTTTCAAAAAGGAAGTCAACCATACAACGAGATTGGTTTATCGTGTATGTATGTATGTATGTTCTATGTATGTATGTATGTATGTATGTATGTGTGTGTGTTATGTTGTATGCTATTAAATTTTAATTGTAAATGTTACAAAGATGAATGTTTTTTTCTTTTTTCTTTTACTTACCCGCACAAACCATTTTTAAGGAACTTCGAACAATTATTAAATCGTCGTCTTCTAGAGGTCAAAAGTCGTATACTATCCTCAGGAGGTTGGAGAAGATAATCCGTTTCTTCGTCCATTTCAAAGTCCCGCTCATCCGAACTGAGCCGCAATGGCATCTCCTCCAACCTCATAATATTCTTTCAATAATCACAATATATTATATATATATATATATATGTATATACATACGCGTACTTCAATGTTTCTTACAATCATTTAATACTCTTTGTTAAGAGATAATAATAGTAATGTATTTTTCTTTCTTTCTTTCTTTCTTTCTTTCTTTCTTTTATTATTATTATTATTATTATTATTATTATTGTTGTTATTATTATTATTATTACTTTCTTTCGCTCGTCTTATACGTTGATTTTTTTTTTTCGACGATATGCAAATATCTTAAATTTACTTTTATTAGCTTATATGTATTAACTTTTTTTTCTTACGATGCAATATCACGTGACCCAAAGTAACACAGTCTTCTTTGTCACACATAGTATCTGCCGAGAAATTCAAGTCACACAAGACAGAGAGAGAGAGAAAGAGAGAGAGGAAGAGATAGAGAGAGAGAGAGAGAGAGAGAGAGAGAGAGATAGAAATAGAAATAGAGAGAGAGAGAGAAGAATGTCATTTACAATAACAGTAGTTTTTCATATACCTATATAACCGCATCATTATAAGATGTCACAATGTATCAAATTAATTGTCCTTTTGATGTATCGATCAAGATATATCCTGATCTGTTTATTTACAATGTAATAATCACATATACACAAATAAGATGGTCTCTCTTCTCTCCTGGACGTAATATGTACGTAAATCGTTCTCGAGGTAAGTTGTTATTCTTATCGTAACGCATGTCTATCTTTTGAAATGATTTTTAATATCAGATATACGATTTGTAGATTAAGTATATGCCTTAGGTGATAACTATGAAATATTTTTTTTTATCTCTTTTTTCTTTTTTCTCTTTTTTTTCTTTTCTTTAACCGTGCATAATGCTGCTTCAAAATTCGCGATACCCGCAATACGACGATATATCGTGCGCGTCCATATTGGGCATTCGACGATCACGTGTACGTTTACGCATGCTCCTAAGTATTTATTTGGAATTATATTTCTTAGTTTAGTCGAATAATTTATATATAAGAAGTCAATATATATATATATATATATATATATGTGTGTTATTCAAATAATTAGTGTTGTTACGTATAATTACAATTTTCATTTTACTCTTTAACAAGAAAAGTTTCAAGTAAATAATTATAAAGAAAGCAAATGTTTATAATGGTACTTATCAATTGATTAGATAATTTGATATTTTTTTATTAATGATGCAATAGCATTTTCTTCTAATGTTATCTCTTCGGATTTCATCATATCATCCAAGTATTTAAGCAACCGAGAACAATTTTCTTTTTCGTGATCTCCCATGAAATTTACAGCAAGATTAAATCTGTTACAAGTAGTTAAAATAGTTAGAATTTCTATAATTGCTTTAATTTCTTTTGCATTCAAGGAATTTTGGTTTTTGTATTCCAGACATATGTTGATGATATCGCAGAGAAAGTATGGGGGAATCTCGCTATGGAATATTTTATTTTTTAAAATATCCCTTTAAAACAGATAGATTATAATGTAACAATGTATTTTCATTTTTTGCTTTTTTTTTCTTTTTTTTTTTCTTTTATAAGAATAGTAATTCATTACCTGGTATTGTAAAGATAAGAAAACTTTATTTTGCTATCATTAGTATTTCTCCACATTTGGATAAATGTTTTATAATTTCTTGGAATTGTATTAGCAAATTCATTGAATTTCTCTTTAATTAGTTTTGTTCCATTATTTTCATATGTCGAGGTTAAAAATTCTGATTTATTTTTTATGCTTATGGAATTCCATAATACTGCAGATTTAGATTTAATATCTTTTGATTCTAATGGTTTTAAATGAGCTCCATTCACCTATTGAATATAAAACGCAATAGAAATAGATATATGTGACATTGAATCTTTATTTATTTATTTATTTAATATTTTTTTTGTTTTGTTTTTAATAACTTACCATTTGTCTAAAGTGTTCATAAGTAGGTACTCCTTGTTCCATTGCTCTGATCTTTGCATCATTTTGTAATTTATATAACTCATTTGCTTTAAGCTCTTCGTACAACTCATCTTGTAATATTTTATAATCTATTGGCGATTTCAGTATACTCATTTCATTCAAATTATTAACACAAATATCTGTAAAACGTACAGTCTATAATATCTTGAATTGATAGAATGAGTAATAATAACCTATGTTTGGCAAAGGTATAGTCTTTATTACCATAGTTACGCATAACAAGAACATTTCTTTATTGTGATAATATCAATACAATTCAAGAATGAAGTATATGTATTTTGAAATAGAATACAATGCAAAGGTATTATTTTTTATTAGCATTATAATAATAAAAGTCTTGAATATATAATATTATTAGGAATTATTACAAAGAATCTTTAATAATGGTAATATCTGTATCAGGCATCAAATTTTTTTCTTTCAACATGTTGTTTTTTCTCCTTTTATAGAATTTCTCATGCATTCTTTTCATTTCAAGGATTTCTTTCATTTCTTCTTTATCTTCCTCCTAAAATTTATCAATATAAATTCATCTAATAAGAAATAAAGGACAAACAAATTTTTGTCTTTAATAATTAAAATGATTTACCTTTTGATTTAAACGCAATACTAATGCTCTTTCCTTACCGGACATCAATTGTGAATAGTCCATTAATTTTTTATGTCTTTCCTTAGGATGCACTCCTCTTTCGACTACCAAAACGATTCGCGCCCACTAAAATTTTCAACATATGTGATATTAATCATCAACTCTGTACGAAACAATCTGTATATGTAATATCAATTTATTATCTTTCTTTTTTTTTTTATTTTTTCTCCCTTTTTTAATAATAGCCCAAATATACCTGTCTTTGCCATTCGTTTCTTGTCTCAGCTATTTTTTGATAAGTATTTCCCATCATGGCGATTAACATGTTAACAAGTAAAATTGCAACGATTGCCATATAAAGTACGAAAAGAAGCTGTAAAATATGAATCAATAATAAGATACGTTAAAAATATCTTTTTTTTGTTTGTTTTTTTATTTTTTTATTTTTTTTTTATAAATATTTCTCGTTTCTTAATATTTATTTGGATTAGTATATGAAAACTATTTAATGGACAAATATCATTTTGATAATTTATTCTATATTTATTTTTTATTCTTTAATATTTTTATTTTCTAGCGTGTATGGATATTGAAATGAAGGTTGTATTTAGCGTAATAATATCATAAAGTAGCCAATTTGAGATATGTAATATTCTGCATTCTTGCGGTGACATTACCTTGGCCTCTATTTCATGTTTAGTTCTTTCGAATGCTCCATAGTAATCACCGAAATTCGTCATGCTCATAAGAAACATTGCCATGACACTCTCCATTGGAGATGGCATTGGATTAGACGTTGAATCGTCGACGCCGTCCGGCGTATTAGGATTGTCAAAGGATAAGAATATGATGTAATAAGCTAGAATTATAAAAAGAGTAAAACACTTGTTAGTAGTTAACACTATTTCTTTCAAATATAAAAAGGTCAATTTCGCAGATGCTTCTCAGTAGCTTCTTTTAATTGGAATAATGATTATTTATGTGCGTGTAATATATATATATATATATATATATATATATATGTGTGTGTGTGTGTGTGTGTGTGTGTATAGATCAAATATTTTATAGATGTAGTGAAAAAAAAATTGCATATTAAAAAGGCTTTTTAAATGAGTTTGATGAATTTTGTTTGCTGAGTAGTTTTTAAAGTCTACTTAAAAATATACTACTCTATCTCTTTCAAATATTGATAGGTCAATTTCGCTGATGTTCTCAATTGGAATAATGATTATTTATGTGTTTTCATATGGATCAAATTTTTTATAGATGTAGAAAAAAAAAATGTTGCATGTTAAAAAGGCGTGCTTTTTAAACGACTTCGATGAATTTCATTTAAGCATTTAAGGTATGTTTTTTTAAGAAATGAAATCGTCAATTTTATTATGTATATGTTATTTTGGAAACAAAAAAGTATATGTATATATATATATTTTTTTTTCTTTTTTTTTTTTTTTTTTGTAAAATTACCTTGAGAAAATCCCATGACGAATACCAAATAGATAGCAACAAATCTAAGTAGATCACCCATGATCATTCTGTAAATCATAACGACGAATGGACCAACAGTTTTGAAGCCTCTACAAAAGAATAAAAAATAAGGTGCTGTCGTTAACATAACAACGACAGCAAGCATGTCTTCGATTTCGTCGGCACAAGCTAATCTGAGTATTGGAAATGAAAGTAAGAGACAACAGGAGAACAAAAACATTACTCGTGATGGTGCTGTCATCTGCAAATGGTATCGTTATTATTACTTTTATTATTAATTTATATTAAGGAATATATATATATATATAATATATATAATGTTTAATCTATATTATAGAAATTATATTTTATTTTTTTTACCCCCCTCCCTTAACCCCTTAAGAAAAAGAGAATTTTCTTACGAGATTCTCGATGAACATGTTCAATCCTAAAAATCTTGCTTCCTTTAACGCAGTGATGATATAAAGGATAGCACCAATCTCCATGAAAAATTCGGCTATTAAACGAATTTTTGCTGATATAGAATTTAAGTGCATTAATCTGCATTCCTCTGTAAGTGTTTGCCACCTGTTCGCGATCACATTAAATTAAAAACTATCACTTTATATAATAGAACAATTGATCTCAATATTTTTTTTTTCTTTTTTTTTTTTTTTTTTTTTTTTTTACAACTATTTCTTTCTTTCTCGAACACTTTACGAAATATTTCTTTATTTTACTATATGCGTATTAATATTGTTATTTATGTGAAAATCTTTTTAATCTGTGTGTTTGTGATTACTCAAAAATTCTTACTATTTTTTTTTTTCTTGTGTTCTAATCGAATTAAATATTTTGTATAATTGGAACTTTATGATCCGACTGAAAATTAAAGTCATTTTACTTGCTAATATAGTAGCTATAAAATGGGCTATAAAGCATTAAATGAATATGTGAGAGAGAGAGAGAGAGAGAGAGAGAGAGAGAGAGAGAGAGAGAGAGAGAAAGAGAGAGAGAAGTCCGGTCTATGATCGACGTGAAGAACGGAGCGAGAGAGAAAGATATGCATAATAGTAAAGTTGGTTGCACTAATTATTCATTGATTGAATGATTAGTTTTATTTTTGCAAAATGAAAATGAAAATGAAAATGAAAAAATTTTTATGCTTTCTCAAATCGATTTACGATAAGAGTCTAGAGGTATAAAAATTTTTTATTTTAAACGTTTAAAGTAATGCAACTGCTTGATATATTATTTCGAAAGAACAGAAAAAAAAGAAGTATATAAAGAGGTTTTTCCTTTTTCAAAAAACTTTAACTGTCCGTTATTTCCTAATTTCCTCGACAAGGAAATATATTAATATATGGATATATATATATATAGTTTTTTATTTTTAGTTTATTAATCATCGACATTCTGATAAATATATTTTATTTTACTTACCAATTCTTTTTGCCTTTGATTTTGGTAAAACCATTGATATCACTTCCTCTTATCGTTGAATTAAATTTAAGTAAATTATCGATCGTATAAATGCCACGACTAGTCGTGGTAATATTTTGATGAATTTTATTGTACAAAGTACGATTCGTAGGATTAGTAAAATTTGGATCGAATTGATTTAATGTATCATTTTCTTCTATCATCGATGATAAAATTGGTAATAAAGTATCCTTTAATAACGATGTCATATTTGAAATTAATTGTAAGGAAATCTTATCGAGAACGTTGTCCGAATTTTTCATAAATCTTTTCTCCGATATTAAGCTCGTTGTTAGATTTTTAACGATCGACTCAGAGATATTACTAATTTGCAATGATTTTAAAATTTGTGTCGTGTCCATCGTCATTAAGTACGAAATATTCAAAGTTGGATCGGTAGTTGTAACAGTCGTTGTTGTAACAGGACTTTTCAACGTTGATAATGGTCCAGGACGTAATGTGAAACTTATTAGAGATAGAATGAAGTAGAGGCAGAATAAATAAAATTGTTGATAAAATCTATAAGAATCATCATCAACAATGTTAATATATATAATTTTTATGTTGAAAAATGTATGAACTTTTAATTACTGACCGATCTTTTACGAATGTATTCCATTTGGCGTTTAAAAGATCAACTAGAGTGCCATCCAACAATTCAAGATGTTCGTCTTTGTCCTGTAAGAAGGATAGTGCTATAGTACGTACTCATTTTTTATTGTTGTTGTAATCATTCATTAAATTTTATACATAAAATTTTATTAAAACCTACGCCGAAAACAATTAGATTTAATGCAGAATTATGACTTATTTGTCCTGTATGTAAGTCTATCGTATCGATTTGCGATAAAGGATAAGCCACACATGTTATATTTCCAATTTGCCAATAAATTTCTCTCTCGATGTTTAAAATGTGAAAAAACATCTCGACTCTCCCCAATTTCGCTGACAATGTTAACGGCGTTAAATGTTGAACGTTTTTAATAGACAATGATGCACCTACTTCATAAGCCATGTCAAAAGTTGTCTGAAAAATTGTTTTCATAATTAAATCGTTTTTATTACTCTTGATATTATAATTATTAATACGAGTTGGTGTAAATCTCGCACCTGGAGTTAAGCTACACTTCATTTTTAATCGATAATGTAGTTAACTGTTGTTATATGTTCGTAAGAAAGATTTCTTTAGACCTATCGATAGGCAACCTGTTTTACATACTCTCGTGGTCATATTGCCTATCGAAGGGGCCGAAGAAAACTTTTTTATCGACATAAGATAATCAGTAACTAAATTATCGACGATGTATGGTGTATTGTCTAGTCGCAGGCGCTATATTCAACATTCCCATTAATGAGGTTATATAAAATCAATAAATAAATATAACTGACAATTAATAATCATAAGAAAAATAAAATAAACTTTACCATTTTTTCATAAATGACGAGCATATGCAATACAGTATTTCCATTTGTGTCTTGTTTATCAGGATCAGCACCTCTGGCTAATATGAGCCTATAGCATTCCTCTTGACCTAAACATGCTGCAAAATTGAGAGGATACTCTCCCCAATAAACGTATCTGATAAAAGATAGATTGAACTTCGGTAAAAATTATCGACTGTTTTTTTAAATACATCATCACGTTCAGATTTAATATATATATGTACCCGCTATAATTTGTTTCTGGTGCAACGGAAACCCATTCATGTTCTAAACTATCATATCTCGAAGCTTTTTGATCTTCAGGAGACATGAAACTACCGAAGCAACGTTCGTGTACATCAGCTCCACTATCTAGAAGGTATTTTACCATGGCTGGATCTTCATTAACAATTGCTATGTGTAATACATTTTCTCCTATTAAATTGAAAACTTAATGAATTATAAACATTAAATTCGAATATAACAATTAAATTTCATAATCATTTCGTAATAATTTCATCGTTATTTGATGACATTTAAAAAGGAGACGTTAACTGACCTTTATCTATCGAAACGTTCCTACCTGGTATAGGTAGATAAATGTACTTACTTGGCCGATGCATGTAAGGACGTAAATAGATTATGACTAACGAAGAGCTATTTGCGATATAATGAAAAAAATACCTCGACATTAGGTGAGGAAAATCAACTTGACCTCGATGTGAAATAACTTTACGATGGAGGGAGAAGTCGTAAAATTAATTGCTGCAGATTTGCCAGAGGCCGTACGTTAATGTCTCGTCTTAGAGATTCTAATCTTTAATGATTATAAAGCGTGCAGGTACTTGCGGTTGATGGATAGTTGAATTATTAGATATCAATGATTATACCGTGACAATGTTAGATCGATAATTATACATTTTCAGTTATCATTTTAAAATGTATATATTGTAATATATTTCATCTGACTTACCGTAATATTCATCGCTTATGTAAATGTCATTTATTAGATTTGGATAAAAGCGTAACAATCTTTTTGCCAAGTCCGCGTGAATGGCTGTTGCGTGTAACATACACAAATGTAAAATAGTTTCACCGACGGCACCTCTTTCGCTCAGACTCCAACATACCAATCTGTGCTTGCTTTTATCTGCGAATCAAAATATTTAATAAATTTTTATAAAATATCTTTCCCTTTCGTAAAATAAATTTATACCGTATAATTAATTTCTTTTTTTTTTTTTTTTTTTTTTCTTTTCTCGTTCTTACCTATCTTAGTTTCGTCCACGTCTTCGTCATTCAAATCTTTATTTATATCATAATCTGCTGGATTCTCCATAGCTTTTAATTGAGGCAACTGAAATAAGTTTTATTTTGTTCTAATTTTTTTTTTTTTTTTTTTTTTTTTTTTTTTTTTTTTTTATTGTAAAAGAATTCTATATAATTATTTCAATGGTTTCTACCATTTTATATCTCGGCCGATCTTTATTCCTAAGTAACACTAATTTCTCAATTGGTATCCATTTGCCTTTTCCCTTATTGTACAAAAATGGTTCTACCTTCGTTCTTAAAGCATGATCCAGTTCAGCAAATTGCTTAGTTTGCGTAGCTCTTTTCATCATATCCACGAATAGTCCACCCCCTATATATAAATGAATATAAAATTCTTAGAAAAGTAACATACTATGAATTCGTTCTCTCTCTTTATCTCTGTATCTTATGTGTAATTTTCAAACTCTCGTCGATTCCCGCTGCGATCTGGTAAACTTCTAACCATTACTTAAGAATTAGGATGGCCGGGGATAGATCTCTCATATATTAAAATAAAATCTTTAGTGTCCAAAGGCAAGTCAATCTATTACGTCATATCTGCAAGTATTTAGATCGTTAAGTTGAACACTTGCGAATATCGAAGCAGTAATATAGCAGTATGTAGTAGTAACACTTCACTTTTCAAACTTAGCACACATGACTCATGGATAATAATGGATAAGGAAGGTACGAGGTAGAAATTTTAATGATTCATTTTTAATAATTATTTTTGTAATCAAATTTTCATTTATATTCTTATTCTATTCATTTTACTCATAACTATTTTTATAAGGATATATATATATATATGCTGATAATTATTTTTACTATTTATTTGTTATCTCTCAGACCTTCTCGAAATATTCATTCATGTTTTTGTGCCAAGGATACAAAATGTTAAAAATAAAGATGGAAACTTGTATGAAATTCACTTTAGTTTTTTTTACATTTATGAATTCTCGAACCTCAGTGTATAATATTTAGTCTTTAATATTTAAATCTCTAAGATCTATATTTTTTAATTTATTAATTTTTACGATCTTTTAATCTTTGTTTATATAGACGTAATATATGAAAAAGTATATATTGTAATTATTTAATATTTTATCGATTTGAATGTTATTATTCTTTTTTTTTTTGTGTTCGTGAAACATACGTAGCGTCATCTGTTATGCATTTACACAATTATTACGATTTTCTTGACTTACCTTTCGAATTATGTCTTTTCTACAATCTAATAATTTTTAATTTCTTATATGCAATTGTAAAATAATGTATTTTAATTTATAATATTATTTGTATTCAATATGTTATCTTTTCATTGAAAACATTGGAATAATATTATCATATAGATTAATTAAAATGGTGTACCTTTTAAATCTACAAATTTGTAAAGAACTATAGACGATGTATCCGTCTGTTTCTTGACACTATTTGAAACATTACTCTCAGTATTTCCCATATTAATAGATAAAAAGTAATCAACTTTTATTCCGTCACAAGAATAACTAATTTAAGCGAAGAATCGAACTGATATACTTTCAATAGCACTTTGGTTACTATGGTAAACTCTTTCGTTATTGATTATACTAATTCAGATATATAAATTCACATAACTCGATATTTAAAGTATTTCTAATAAATATATATAAAATATTTCTTAAGATCTTTAACTATGTGTACATTTAATTTTTACATTTGTTATTTAAAATTTTCAATACATGTATATGTTTTTTATATTTACATAAATTTTAATATTATTTATTTCATATTTATATGTATATATATGTATATATATTTTTTCTATATTTATATTACATAATGTTTTATGTAAAAACTAATTTATATAAATTTTACTTATTAAAGATATAATATCAAATGGAATAAAATCCAAAATAGAAATCACAATATTGTGGTTTTACAATTTTATTTTTAATGATGGAATTAACCAGGAGGATATCCTATCCGTTTTTGATAATTAAAATAATAAATCCTGTTGGATTAAAACCACGAAACGAAAATTATAATAGGTGATAATAATTTTCACGATAAAAATCTATGATAAATCATTTCCTTGAAACGATAGAAATAAATTTTAAATGTGCCCTATTTTCTTTTTATATTTAACAATAAAATTACTTTATAAAATTAATATTTTAATAATAATAATTATTATTATATATATATGTATATATATATGTACAAAAATATAATTAAAAAAAATTTTAAATAATTGTTAATATAATAGATATTTAAAAAAAAGGAAAAGAAAATAAAGTTCACCCTTTTGGGCTAACAAAGGCCCCGGAGGGATTCGAACCCTCGATCTCCTGTTTACTAGACAGGCGCTTTAACCAACTAAGCCACGGTGCCGTTGAGACTACTGTTTTATTGTAATTCATTTAAATCAAGTTAGAATTTTAATGTATAGACGTGTTCGAATAATTTAAAAATCATATATTTTTATATAATATTGATTACATGTAAAATATATATAACAAAAATTAATCATTAACGGAATGCAAATGTAACGAACAAAATAACAAATGGATATATACTAATAAAGAAAATAATAATTAAACAATTCTATAATTATTATTTTCTACATTGCGATGAATATTATTAAGTAATTGGATTTGTTAAAAAAATTAATCTATGAAATGTCATAAATAGGATCGTAAATCTGTCGCGGTTATAGTAAGAGATCCTGTCATAGAAGACTGAATTATTTAAAATTAATTATAGAATAAATGCGCATAGAAAGAACGTCGTGAAAATATCAATGGGACTATTAATAAAGAAGATGATGTTTATGTGTATATATATATATATATATATATATATATATATATATATATATATATATATATATATATATAGAGTCGAGAGGCGTGAAAATTTATATGTTTATATATACAATTATGTCTACTACCTCTACTTCTCATCTCTCTCTCTCTCTCTCTCTCTCTCTCTCTCTCTCTATATATATATATATATATATATATATATGTAGTGTATAGTATACTTTTCGTGAAGGAATTAATAATAAGTGTTTCTTAAGATTTTTTGATTAATATTATTTTTCACTGTTTCTTTTTTTCTCTTTCTTCTGGGCCCCACCATTTTTGGCGATCGATCATGGTTAGAAATTTCCATTGAATTCGACCCACATTTCGTAGCATTAAATTACTTTCCACGAAGAAAAATCTTCGACGAGATCTATTTATAAAGATCAAATATATGGATACATTGGTAAGAGCAGTGCAACCAGGACGCATGCTTTTTTCGAGTGTAAGAATATATATGCACGTATATATATATATATATATACATACATATACATATACATATGCATATATATGTATATATGGTCCGTCAGAAATTTTCAACAAGATAATAAAGTTTCCTTCTATCGAGGACAGAATCTGTTAAAACACTCATACAGTCTAAGAAAATTATTATACTTATGGAACGCATGTATAAATTTCGTTACTTTTATATTCAATTTAATATGAGTTTTCGTATTTTCAAAGAAATTGTTCATTTCGTTATTTACATTATGTTTGATGATACGGCTCTTAACTACTTTTAATTATGTATTTTATCGATATCCATCTGATAACAACTTATACGTTTCAATAGACTTTTATTTAACAATATCGAGGTCACAAATTTTTCTTATATATTTAATAAAAGTCAAGGTTTTCAACAAGTTTTTTTTGTTGTTTTGTTTTTAAAAGTAAGTTTATTTGACACGGCCCTATATTAGATACACAAGTATAATCTTACTTAGAAGACTTTTTACATTATTTTAATAAAAATATAGCTATTAGTTATCGTTAGATAAATTTCTATAGCAATCAATATATAGAATTTTATAATTAATATTGTAACTAGGTTATAGGGTTCATAAAACAATCGGTAATATATGAGGGTAAAATGAAAAAATAGTGAATATAAAAAAAAATTTTACCAACTATAGCAAATTATAGTACTTAAAAATTAAAGGTAGGGGGATAGGATAAGGACTGGATGATTTGAGGTAACTTAATCTACAGGGAGATCATATATACATTATGTACAACTAATCTTTACGTTATAAGTCTTTATCACACTTTTATGTGTTTTTTTTTTTTTTCAGAGTAGAAGATATCTCTTATCGATGCATTATGATTACTATTGTTCTGTAATGAGTAATTAAAACTGTTTAAATCTTGTTCTTCGGCGTAGATCGTCCATGTATTTTGTATCTTCTCATAGCCAGAAGTATTTTTTATATAATATATCAGTATCATTTAAATCATCATTCGTTAGTGCTTTCGAGAAAGCGTAGTTCTCCTGATTATCTTCATCATAGATACTATTAATTTGTTTTCTTGCTGAGTGTCTTTGGCGGTGATAGTTTAGTGGAAGATTATTGTGGTCTTGGATTAGATCATTTTTATCACAATAAATGAATAGTTCCGGTGTAGCCTGAATTTAATTTACTCAGAATTGAGTCTTCTTCTTGTGAAATAAGTTCTGTAATTAAGCTATTGTTTGTACGATCAATGTTACTAAAATATTTTCTGATTATTTTGAGAGAAAAACAGTCAATTTTATTGATATTGGTATTGTTGTAAATGGTCTCGTTTTTTATTCTCTCTTTATAATCTGATTCAGCGGTTCTGTGCGTTCTTAGGCATGATCTCAAGCAAGATCTTTCAAATCTTCTTATTTTTTCAATTATAGTTGGACCTGTATTCCATAATGTAGGAGCTACATAAGTTAAAATAGGTCTCACCAGTAGTCCATAGCATATTATTTTGGCTTTAAGAGCAAGATTTTTATTGTAAAAAATTCTCGAATTCAGATTGAAAGCTTTTTTTGCTTTATCTAATTGAATCGAGTAGTGTTTATTTAGTCTTAACAGATGATCTAGATGAATTCCCAAATATTTCACGATGCGTTTCTTCGGTATCTCAGTTAATTCGTTGGTATGGATATCAGTAGCTGTTAATTTTAAACTATCTATTTTTTTAACTGCAGAGTATTCGATTTGTTTAACTGGTCTTCTGAAAAAAATTAATTCGCTTTTACTTGGGTTGATTTTTAAATTCCAGTTTTTTGTAATAACTATTTATATCGTTGATAGCTGCCTGTAATGTGTATCTGATTTTATCTATGTCCTTGCCTGCTTAATATCATGCTCTGGCTCGTTGGTTTTTTTTTCTTTTTTTTTTTTAAAAAGTAAGTTTATTTGTCACAGCTCTTTATATGATACATAAGAATAATCTTACTTAGAAGACTTTTAACATTATTATATTACAACAGTAGCTATAAGTTATCTATAGATAAATTTCCATAACAATCAGTAACATAAAATTTTAATTAATATTATAATTGTAAATGTAATGTTTATTAAAGAGTGCTATATGTATATGGATCTCTGGCTCGTTGGTCTAGGGGTATGATTCTCGCTTAGGGTGCGAGAGGTCCCGGGTTCAAATCCCGGACGAGCCCGCGTTTTTTTTTTTTTCATTTTCGTTTTTATTTATTTTTTTTTGTTTTTGTCTTTCGCTTTATTTATTTTTCTTTTCGATTAATTTTTTTTATACATTTTTTTGTTTTCATTATATTCATATATATCATAACGTATCATATCAATCAATATATTAATCAAATTAAATAAATTTATTTGTCAAATACAATTCTTTTATTTTTCTAACGAAAGTAAATATGATTAGTAAATATGATTGACTATACTACATGTTGAACCAAAAGTTCTTGACCGATTTTAAATAATCAATTACTGTTGGATTTTTTTTCCGTTTTTTCTTTTTTTTTTTCTTTTTTTTTTTCTTTTGATTGCAATTGTAAAACTTCATGCCTAGGAGAACTTCGTTCTACTCCATCTAGGAATTTTTGATCTGTTCGAGTAAATGATTAATTAATTATGCTTACAAGTAGATCACTTAAAATTTGGAAAGTATTTAAATTTTTTTTATCACGATGTGTCACGATAATGTTTGATCATATTTTTATAACTTATCGTTTCTTAAGAAACTTCAAATCTCTCTCTCTCTCTCTCTCTCTCTTTCTTTCTTTCTTTCTTTTTTTTTTCTTCGTATACATATTCATAACTTATTTTCGTATGTAATAACGTAAAAGTACACACATAATTTTACCTTGGTATGCGTCCATGTTACTTTCTTAGAGCATTCTTATCGGCTGTACCGATGGTGGAATAAAATGATGCGAGTAAAGTGTTCGATATTGAATTTACGATAAGATTAAAGCGACCGATTTCGATTCTTATTTACACGTCGTTTATCCAGCGGCATTTTAAAAGAAATAGTATACTTGTCGAGTACGATCGAGTATCTATTCTCATGAACTACTCACATATTAATTAGAAAAGTTTCATACAATATCTGTCATTGAAAACGTACTTGATATTTTTTTTCTCTTCTTTTATTTTTATTTTTTTCTTTATAATAAAAAGAAAAAGAAACAAAGAAAAATGCAGAAAGAAAACATGCAACAAGATTCAAGAACGAAAGGAACGTGTTATTAATATGATTATAAGAAACACCTATTTTTTAATAACATATACAAAATACAATTCTTATATCATTCAGATTAAAATTCACATATCTTATAATATTTTTAATTCGTTCTACAATGTACATTTAAAAAGTAAACGATCTTGAAAGGAAACAAGATCAGTAACAATAACGACAATAATAATAATTATTATAATAATAAAAAAGAAAAAAAACAGAGAGAGAGAGAGAGAAAGAGAGAAAGAGAAAATAATTCTAATCAGCAAGGCAAGATATAACAACGAACGTACATATATAAATACATACGTACGTATGTACGTAAGTAAGTAAACTTAAATGCTAAATTATAAAAGTCACAGATAAGTAAATTCTTGATCCTTAATAAGAAGATAATTTCCTTATATGGTCATATGTATATACGTATATATGATAGTACTCTTTTAGAAGAAATCGTGATTCATAATATCTCTATTCTCTGCATTCTCTCCCTCTCTCTCTCTCTCTCTCTTTTTGTATATGCATGTATGAGTATGTTTGTGTGTGTGTGTGTGTGTGTGTGTGTATTAACACAATTTCGTCTCCGCATTCTTTCTTAGCCGCAAGGAGATCCGGTGGTTGGAACGAGAAAAAGAGCGTCGAAGAGACGCTCATATTATATCATCCATGTGTTGCGTGGCGGGTTCGAACCGAATTGTGATACGGAGAGACTTAGTTTAGCTTGCGTTTACCTACCATCTCCGCGGGTCAGTTAGACGCGCGCTTTCAAGCTGCCAGCAGCAGCTAACGCACAACTCTTGTCATCACCATCCCTCCTTTTAGAAACGTCTTACGTCTAACTGACACGTATCGATACTATTGCGAAAAGAAATTCGTTGCTGTGATTTTAGAAAGAAGAACAAAAAAAATTTTCCTTCTTCCTTTTATTACTTTCTTTTTTGCTTTTTAATTTTTTTCCTTTATTTTTCTTTTTTTTTTCTTTTTTCTTTCTTTTCATCTTTTTCTTTTACCCTTTCCATTTTTCTTTTCTTTTTCTTTTTTTTTTCCGGACAAATCCATTAACGAAAGTTCCATTCGTTTCTTCTCTCTCTCTCTCTCTCTCTCTCTCTGTCTCTCTCTATGAGATATCTTTAAGACGAACATTATTTCATAGTGTCACATGCAACAATCGAAGAGGGATCACGAAAGAAGATAATACTATCATTTGTACTTCTTCTTTGGAGAATCTTCGAGTAAGTGACGAGTTTTATTTTCATTTGCTATTTTTTTCTCCCTCCCGCCCAACCACCTCGCCTTTTCTCTTCTTTCCTTTTTTATTCAATATGTAAATTATAATTTTGATTAAAGCGCGTGGCTTTGTCCGTGTGCGTACGCGCATGTATATGTTCGCGTAGTTTTTCAATGGCGAAATCTCAATGATGGAGGACATATAATTAATATATAAAAAGAAAAAAAAACAAAGAAAAAAAAAATATCGATAAATACTTGAGACCTCTCTCTTTCTCTCTCTTTCTCTCTCTCTCTCTCTCTTTCTCTCTC